GAAAACCAACCTGCCAATGTTTCGCTTATTCTCAGGCATCATCAGGACAGAAAAGAACAGCTAATCGAACATCGAAATGTTGACAGGTTTTTTTTTTTTTTTTTTTTTTTTTGCATGTATTTTGAAGATATGATGCTGCGTGGTTTGGAATTTTTCCAAATTATAACCCAACATTGGTAGCAATGTATAGATTGTTTTTACTCTACAGCTCTTCCATTCCATACAATTGAGGGAGAGAGGGGAGTTATCACAATCCTTCTTGACGGTGCCTTAATGTATATAATGTACAGTCAACTTCATTTAATTAATTTGGTTGGACTTTACTATGTTTATGTCAATAAATCATCTAAATGTACCTATTCTGTAGTTTTTTTCTAAGATCTAAAGTAATGTATTTAATAAATAGCAATAAGCTAGTTGGTAACGGCAAGATTCTTGCGCAAGAACAAGACCAAGGTTTGTTGACGCAAGACCAAGACCAAGAACGTCTCGGTCTCGTCTTGGTCTTGCGTTTGAGCAACACTAAAGATGATAATCTGAAGGCGCAAATTCAGGTTAATATGTTGGATGAGGAATAATTTACCATCCAAATCCTTCAATTGTCATGGTGGAATAAAAAAAACGCCTCGTCTATTGATAAGTGAGAAATATTTTTCCTCAATTTCCCGTCTCAATCGATCCAACTGATCAGAGTAGATATCTTTAGTGCAAGTTTGGTTATAATAAGGGGTTTTATGATGAAGGATTCCTTCCATATCCCACCAAACAGACATCGTTCCTTTTTCCAGATGAAGTTCTCCTCTCGCATCTTTTGTCAGTGTTTCTCCAGGACTTAACCACTGTCGCGACCGTCTAACATTGCGATAGAAATCCTCTTTTTATCTCCAGTTACTATCCTGTTTAGATAAGGTACTTGATCTAAACGGAAGAGGAGAGGTAAGCATGTGTTCGCACGGTGTTGCAAATTAACCATGCTTAATTTGTGAGGGACTCACTATCTCTATTTTGGTACCTTTCTTATCAGCTGCAAACCACGGTGGACAGAAGACCAAGTTTTTTTACTAATTTTTCAACTGTTACAACAGGATTTTCTTGGATAGTAGCCTGCAGGAATTCGTTGTCAAGCTCAATTCGTCAACCTTTCCGAAGCTCGCTTTCAAATTTGTGGTTTTCCGCCCAAAACTTTTCAAACCACCTCTGCAGTTGCCATTCATTAATAACGTTTTCTCCATATATTTCTACAAATTTTTGGTAACTTGAAGTAGCACATTTTCTTTATCGAATTCCCAAAGTATAACATGGTGTAAGCGGTTTTTGGCGAGATCTATTTAATTGAAATTTCAGCACAGCCTAACTTTATAACTTCCTCCAACAAAATCATGATAAATAGAAGAGTATGTAATACTATATTAAAAAAATGTATAAACACAATTGAATTGTAAAGGAGGGATTAGTAATATCAACATGAACAGTCGGATTTTTAAAAATCGACATTATTTTGGGAATGGTCCGGTATATGAATTTCATCTGTTGAATCTATGCACCGATCATCGAAAAAAACAAATATTAATAAAAAAAAATTAGCCCTCCGCCATAATCCAATACAAATGTGTGCCAAAGCCATCTTGAAAATTAAAAAGGATTATTAATTTTAAAAAGTATAATTTCATGGATATAATTCCTATAAAATTGTATTATTTTATATTAATCTGCGTACGTGAGTGGGCCTTCAATATTTCATATATGGTGTATGAATTTACACAAAACATAAGTCTCGTGAAAATTCTTAATTTGTAAACTAGACAAGGAATCATAAAGTATTATATAAATAATTAATTTGGAAAACGCCATATCATGAGAGTTAATAAAACACTTAATATGCTTTTGACGTTTTAAAAATCTCATTTTAACATTCGATTGGAAACCTAGCAATAACTGGAAATAAACATGTAGTCTTAGTGATTAAAAAAGTAAACCTTCCTACCCTTTTCAGAATAAAGGGGACATCTCTTAATCTATTTGTCCTGAAAAAAAATAAAATTCTGGTTACCAAAATCTGTTCGTAGATTGGAAATATAGATCCTTTCAAAATACAGAACGTTTTTTTCATATGATTGAATTTTCATATTAATTTAATAATTGTATGTGATAAATGACGAAAATAAATTAATGTGCAACATTTGTAGGCCACATGGTTATGATCTTGCCAAGGACGATAGCGCATGAAATTCTACTCTTAAAAGCGTTGCAAGAGAGAGAAAAATTATTAAAATTGCAATTTATTCACAATTAGACTGGTTGGGGTCTGTCTCTAATTTTCTCTTGATAGTTGTTTATCTGGTTTGAAAATTTCCACAAAACTGTGGTATCTCTGAAAATTCATAGATCTGTATAAATAAAAATAAAAATGCTCCCTCCTGTATTTTACAAGGGACACCAGGACTGAAATGGGAAGCTTACATTAGACTAGCTCTAGCATAATGCAAACCTTTACCGGATCATCTGCCTTCCCATAATCTTTGTTTATTTATTCTGAAATTTCAATTCGATGTAAAATGTTGTTAATTTATTATAGCACTATATTTTTATATCCATCCACGCATTGTTACCATAATTAATTTTTACTATAGTCGAGCTAGGCTCAATTTATATCAGAAAATCCTCCACAAAGAGAAATGAATTTATATTATACAGGGTGTTTCAGGATTAAGTGACCAAACTGAAAATATGAAATAAGGACCTCAAAACAAGAAAAAAAAATCTTATGAAGGTATGTCCGCAATCGCTTTGTTTAGGAGATATTCACACCTAAAGATTTTCATGGTTATGAATTATTTACGTTATATTAAAAAAATAAAACTTATTTATTTGTTCCAACTACTTTTTTAATTAAACGTAAACATTAAATTCATATTAAATGTTGTTCAAAGTGATTTCCTTGAGCATTAAGACAGGTTTGGCATCTTTCTTCAACAGCAGCACTGGCAGAACGAAACTGGATATGTGTTATTGTTTCACAAGATTCCATTATCCTTCTTCGTAAGGAATTAAATTAAGTTCATTGACCGGACTTGGATATACTTTTTGTTTAATGTTACCCCATACAAAAAAATCCAGTGGTGTCAAGTCTGGAAAGCGTGCAGGCCAAGCAACTGGTGGGATAATTAACCTCTTCCGTAATGTACACAACAACCATCTAACTAAAGCCATATAACATGTCCCTTCTCAGTTGCAGTGGAATATGTTCAACTAAATCATAGTAATCATTATAAAGAAATTCCAGAAATGTGCTCGCATTGAGTCGAGGCGGCAAGAAATGCGGACCTATTACAATATTGTCTATTATCCCCAAACACACATTGCTTTGAAACGGGGGAAACCGTGTACAAACACCATATCGGCATATTCACCATTATTATAAATGGAAAGCATAATGATGAGTTCTCTGCGAAAGCTTCTCACAAACCGATAAATGTTATTGAGAGTTCCCAATGCTAAATCCAAATAATTCAAAATCCTTATGTTGCCAATAGTTTCTATACAGTTAGAGATGAAAGGCCACATCAGTATTTTGTCTAATCCACCTCCTTAACAAAGCGTTTGCGGGCATACTTTCACTTTGAACAACATTTTATATGAATGTTAATGTTTACATTTAATTAATAAGTAGTTGGAATAAACAAATGGGTTTTATTTATTTCATATAACGTAAATAATTCATAACAACGAAAACTTTTAGGTGTGAATATCTCCTAAACAAAGCGTTTGCGGGTATACCTTCAGAGGAAATTTTTTTTCTTGTTGTGAGGACCTTAGTTCATTTTTGCAGTTTGGCCACTTGACCCTGAACCAACCTGTGTATTATATAATTTTAATAGGAATGATTTAAAAGTAAAAATAAAAACTATTCTCACATTTTTGGAAAATTACACTGGTTTAGTTCCTAGACAGAATGGCCAATATTTTTAAACCAATAAGCTTTGTAATAGCAGACGATATTTTATTTATAATAACATACATTTTGATAAATCACATTGGAATCTTTTGCTTTGAGTGCCCTTTTAAGCCCTAGCTAAATCTTCAGTTCTACCAGGGTTACAGCGGTTTGAAAAGTCTTCGAACAAACCAAATTTCTATAAAAAAAGTGTATTGTCTTCTTAATTGTAAACCGATTTAACCTATCAGACATTGCAGATGCAATATATATATATTTAAATTAGCATTATTTTCAATTAACAACAAGTCAAGGGACCAATCCTTGTGTTGCCATTATTTCCAGGGGCTGAAAATAGCCGCTACCTTATTGTTCATATTTGACTACTTTGCTTCAGTCTTTGCTCCACGTTATTAAGTTCAAGTCGCTGTGTAAACTCTAGAAAGCTGAATGTATCTGTGATGAAGTAAGTCTAATAATGGAATTCTACGCTTTTTTTGTTAGTGATTTAATTTAACATTCCATATTTCAAAATGTATTTTTACTTTTTCTATTTGATGTTACTTTTATTTTAGAAAATGCCAAAGTATCATATTTTTTTATTGATTTAAAATTATAATTTTGTATCAATAAGGACTTACAATCAGGGAAATAAAAAATAAACAAGAGATTTAAGGTTCTATTTATGAAATTCATTCTGTCATCAAAACATTGATAAAAATCAAACAAATTGGAGACTTGAAACGTTCAGGGAAACGTTTAAAAAACGTCCTGTTGCTGAACGACATTTAAAATTATTGTGTCTACATAACTGCTGAAAATCTAGCAGAGAGCTACAAAGATCCAAGTTTTATAACTACAATGTCTGCAAGATTAAATTAGTTTGCAGTTAACAATATAAAAAACACTTTTAAATTGAAACATTTGTAATTTTTATAAATATTTTATTTGTTCGAAGACTTTTTCAGACCAATGTTTATCTTTAGATCATTATCAGGTCTCATATTTTTATGTAACACGTTTAATTTTTAATCCCAGAGATGCAGATAGGGGAAGTTAATGCCCTATGCTCACCAAGCTCTATGAAGATATGATCCATCGACCTCTAGCCGGAAAATCGATACTTGATAACTTCCCAGTTGACCAGTCGCTATCTAACTTGGGAGGGGTATAGACATGCGGAGGAATCATGCATAAGCGTACATCAGTAGTCATTTGTATCTGGAATTACATACTAAGTTGCCAGTGAATTAGGTATATATTTATTTTCTTTCACAGAACGATAAAGGCAAGTATTATGTTACGCATTAATTTTAAGCAAAACATCAAAGCTAGTCTTCGATTTCAACATTACTTACTCTTACCATTTATAATTAATAATACTTCAAAAATATCCATATAAATAGCTACATAATGATGCTAAGGTGTTGATATATTCCTACTATTAAATATTATTTTAAAAGACTAATTAATTATGAAGATAAAAAAATAAAATATTCTGATTTTAATTTTAAATAGAAATCTGCTTGAATCGTAATTAATTATTTGTTTAAATTTTATCTAGCTATTGACATCTTGGCTTACAAAGTTATTATTGGATGTTATTAAAATAATAAAATTTTACAAAATATTACACCAAGTTTTCTATGTTCAAATAATATTCTTTATAACCATTGCTTTGATCTGTGTTTATTCCGATTAGGGAAATGTCTATTAATAATAAACAACTTCCGTATGATTGTAGTTATTGATAAAAACAGCGATTAAGTTGTTTAGTAAATAAGAGATCATTTTTATTCAGTAAATATCACCGATAACTTCATTTAAAAAAGAAAAAACAATCTTATTAAAATCTATTAATCGTCCTTGATTGCTTCTACAATATAATTATAAAAGAAATTTTTTCAGGAGCTAAGATTTACTTTTTAGTAATGATTCTTTTTTTATTTTATAAAATATTTTGTCCGTGTGTATGGCCAAGAGATATTATTTAGATCAGAGGTCTCAAAACGTTTTGCTCCGCGGTCACATTGAGGTCTCCACTACGTAACGCGGGCCGTGGCTTGTGATGAAAAAATAAATCTTTTCTATAAATGACACTTCACTTGTGAAATGAGCTTTATAAAAAAAAAAACAAAAAAAAAAAACAATAAATGTTGCAGTAACCTCTTATGTGAGTAATTTGCTAAATTTCACATTTTTTACTAGTTTTTAAAATTTTGGCATATAATCAAAGAAACTTTCGTGGGCCGAATTGGAGGCTCTTGCGGACCGTAGTTTGGATACCCCTAATCTTATGGTTTTAGTCTGTTACGTTGTTACCAGCAACATGATTACAGGTAATGAAAAATCCCTAAAATATTTAAAAATTCGAAATTTAACCTTGAAAAATATAAATGTTTCACAATAAATTTTTGGTAAAATATTATTTTGAAATTTTATTAATATTGCAATATTAATTAATATATAAGTCAGATGTAAGTTAAACACATATACATAGCTCCTTAAGCCCATTTGGTCCTACGCTTCACAAATACATAGGACAGCCATAAAGATTCGCATACGTAAACTACAGACTTTTCAATCAAAAACTTTCAGGACTATCAACAAGGCTCCCTGGTACGTCAGTAACATTACTTTACATAAAGACCTACAGTTGCCAACATTTAACGACCACATACGAACATACTACAAAAGATTTCCCAATAACTTACACGGACATATTTACATAACTTATTCTAACTTATTCGAGGCATGGCCACAACTAACATGCCCGATAGCACCCGTAGAAGGCTTAAAAGAAGCTGGATGAGGGATCTTCTCCAATAACTACAAATATTAAAATCAAGAAAGGAAGGAAGCCGCTGGGCACTCCTCTCCCTCAGGCCTATTCCATGACCTATTCCTACTTCTACACCTCGTCATCACACTCGCTGGTTGTCGGAACTTCTGACAGGTATGAGTGAAAAAGATAAAGTTAATAAATAAAAAAAAAGATGTAAGATTTTGCTATTTCCATTCTGCCTAGTGTGGGTACACTACGTAACTGCATAGTAACCTTTTACAAGGAAAAATAGGATTAAATTGGCCTCATAGTCATAGTTGCCAAGTGCCGTCTATGCGGTTACCCAATGCCGGCCTTAGACATTTAGCAGCCAGCGCTATTGCGTCATGAGCGCTCCCTCCCTCTTCCTTACAACAAATTAATTTCCTCAGCTGTTGCATATTACACTTGAATTATATTTATCTCAAAGTGTCTCTAATTCTGTTGCTTAATTAATAGGTTAAAATTAATTAATCCCATTCACTTCTGTGATTTTTCATAATTCCCAACAAGTGGAGGCGCCCCTCGAGCTTGGTGTGCCCGAGTTCTCGGCCCTAAACTCGGCACTGCGGTTACCTCAAACGAATGAATTAAACTGAGTCGCCGTACGCCGTCAGCTAAGGCATGGCCTATAATATATTTATAATAATATTAATATGCTAAAAGATAACGATACTTAATACTGTGTTGTTTAACATAAAATTAAAAACAATATTTTAATAAAATAACTTAATGATAGTAATTGATAAAAAGGTTTGGAATAAAATATTAATAATAACGCTAGTAAGGCTTGAACTATTTTTATATAAAACATCACATTCATAACAACAATGTCCTTTCCTTCTCTTCTGCAAAAATTGAATAATCTGTTAAAATACAATGTTGTAGTTAACTAAGTCTAAGACCCAGTAAACTCTTTAATCTATAAAAAACATGAAGATTCATAAAATAGGCTATTACCACAGTCAACGTGTGATAACAGCACTTGACATGTACAATGATTGAATTGAGGATTTTTAATTAATTGCATATCTTGTATTCAATTTTGACTCTATACCCTTTGTATGGTAATTCCCCACTATAGAAACCCTATGTCTCATAAACGGTGACGAAATGGATTAGGGTTTTTGCCGGTAGCTGCAATGCATTGTAATGGATCAGGGGGGGACCAGGGTGCAGGGTTTATACCGTTGTTTTATGATATCTTCTTTTTCTTCTATGTTTTTGCTCTTCTGCAGCAGCGTATTGTTGCCGCCTTTCGGTAGAGCTTGATCCATAAATCTTGGTCATGTACATTTTTTTTCCCCAAATCTGCAATCGCTTCACAAGCTGCTCAGTTATTCGAGATTGGTCTCGAACTACCTCAAGGGATTCGTCTCATATCGAAGCTTACTTTAATCGTCCTATTCCTCACAAGATTCTTCTGGCCTTTCCCTCGACCTTTGTAATGTATTTCTGTTGCTTGCCTGTAACTCTGGTTTAGTCGCAAGAGTCAAAAATTAGCTAGTATAGGTCAGTGTCGGGAGGAATGTGTTTTTATAGATAATCTTAGCATCTTCACGCTACCGTTGTCCTCTCCTATCGGAGGATTTCTATATACTTTGCCCGCTCTCACTGATTCCCCTTAACAACGGACCTGGTTTGCTATCAATGACAATGATCTTTATATAGGTTTAATATTATTTTATGTTAATTTTCATAATCATTTATTCAGGTGTAACTTTAAACAGTTTAATATTTTCAAATAGTGCGGATGTAATCTTCAAGACAAGAAGTATTCCTGCGCAAAGACAGAATGTACGAGGTGGAAGCAGTGATAGGGCGCGGGCAGTTCAGCGTGGTCTGCAGGGCGCGGGGCCCGGAAGGGAAGCGGGTGGCGCTGAAGAAGATCCACCTGCCGAGCATGTCCAGCCCCACCGCCACCGCCGACTGCCTCAAGGAGATCACCCTGCTTCAGGTAATATTGTTCTTATCATTTAAAGATATCGATATCAGGGTAAAACCTCCAGTTTTCGGCACTCTATAGGCAACTTTAAAATGTCCCGTTTTCAATCGCATCGGTACTTGGTTCAACTATTTCGGTTTTTTTAAGTCAGTGAAGATCTCTAATTATTTCCCCACTGCTATACGGTGGTGAAGTATTTCTTCATAATGAAATATTAAAATATTAAAAAATAGTCTAATATTATAAATGAAATGAAATGAAAATAGATTTTTATTATCCTGGGACTTTTGTCCCTTTAGGACAAATTATAGATACACAGGAAATGCCTGTGTGACCATAAAATTAAATTAAATATTTAAAATTCTCATTAAAATAAAAATATTGGAAGGAAAATAAAACAAAAACACTAAATACATACAGATATATATAATACAAACATGTGAAAATAACATAATTAAACAAAACCATTTCTGGAGGAACTTAAAAAGTTCTCTTATCTACTTTTCATCATCAATCGGGTTGGGAAAGAAGTAGGTGCACAAAAAGGAGAGATTTTTTTATTATTATTATTTCTAAATGATATTTACAACTGTATTAAATAAATACATCAAGTAAATTTGAACATATGGATATACTGACTTGAAAACACTTGCTGAGTAACTGCCCAATGGTAGCATTCCAATGATATATCTAGATTAGGAGATCACGGGGCCATCTTCTTTTCAGACGCCTCGGAGGGCTATCAGGAATTGAAGAGGAAGCAAGGTTAGAAACGAGAGGGTTGGGATGATTCTCAAATTTATTATGGAAGGATAAGTATCTGGATTGGGCCAGATCTGAAACAAAAGAATAATTAAGGTCATGATGGATGGTTTTATTTGTAATAAAGTAGGGAGCTTTGAGAATTTTACGAGGGATTTTGAATTGTAAGGATTGGATATTGTATATAAAGAGGAATTCGATGGTTTAGTGGAGACCCATAGCTCAACTCCGTAAGTCCAAATAGGCCTTATTATAGTCATGTATATGAGTCTTTTGTAATTAATTGGAAGTTTAGAGCGTTTGTCTAGTCTAGTAAGTGCTGAAGTAATCGGAAACGTCGAGCGGTTTCTTGTCGTTTTAGTCTAGTATGGAGAGATTTAAATGAGAAAACTGATTGCGCATATCGGATATCGAGAGGGATGGTATCCAGATGGAGACGGCTTGAATTATAAAGGATTTGTCAAACGCAGCAGTTCGGTGAGGAGGTGGATAGAGGTCAGAAGTACGGGATCTAGTGGGACGGGATTGAATGGAATATTTAAATTGCAGGCTGTGAAAAATATAGGAAGGTCGCTGAGTTCTGATGGCGGTTGGATGGATAGAGCCACTTAATACTGGGTTATATGCGTATCTCTTTTGATTCCGAAAACAAAACGTATTGCGCAGTTCATCAGGCGTTTAATTTTGGGCTCGAATTCTCCCGAGAGTCCGCCATACACCAGACAGCCATAGTCGAAGTGGGGGAACACAAGGGAGGAAACCAGGAGTTGACGGGATTTATATGGAAGGAGATAGCGGAGACGGTTAAACTGTATCAGAGTTGAGATAGTACGACGGGAAATTTGAGAGATGTGTGGTTTCCAGTTATAATTAATTAAGCTACTAAAATGTCATTACCACGTATAGTTCCACTCTCAGTTTTCTAGTAAACAATTTTTTTTTTCTTTCGAAACCTATGTAAAATGACAGTGAAATTTATTTCTACTCCTAAAGAATAATTAAGGCATTTTGAATTATACATTTTATTAAACTTGTTTACAGTATGTATGTTCATGTATTTTCAAGCATTGTCCCATTACTTTGATTTCGTTACCAAGCAAAAAATATAACATCAGATATTTAAGCATTGAAATAAAGGAAAAGTGGGGAAATTTCTTCAGAGTGTAGTAGTAGCCATGGAGTTAAAGGACAGCCACCAGCGAATAGAGCCTTCCTCTACGCATCCGTTTCTTATACGTTGAGCACGTACATTTATTGCTGTCATTACCAACTCGTATTTTATCTCGCTACCTGTTCAAATTATTTCATTTATTATAATTCACCTTTCACTATGGTTTGTAGGAAGTTAGTTGAAAAAAACAAAAATTATAATACTACCTAAACAGCGGTTTTGGAGGAATTAAATAGTGAAAATGTCATTACAAAGTTGAAAATTCGTTTCATTCCCACAACCAAATTATTAGCATTACTTGCTTTAATTAATGAGCAAAGAGCACTTTTGATCTTGGTCATTTGCTCAAATAAAGCTGAGCTGCAATAGAAGGTGTAAGTATTTAGAAAATTGTATTTAAATGCCTTCAAAATTATTAAAATTATAACATGAAATATGCCCATACTCTGAGAATCATCCATATATGTTAAACAGTGTCTTTTATTTGTTTGTTTATAATAAAACGGAAACATGTAATAAAATGCGCCAGTTTTCGCCAGCATTTTCCAGTTTTCGGCACCGTGAAATACCAGTTTTTGGCACACCTTGCCCAATTTAAAAAAAAAAATCTAAAGAATTAGATCTGCAGCCTTCAGAATGAAAGAACTAAAATGATATTGTGAAGCGATGTGTGTTTCTTGCCAAAAACGTAAGATACGTCCTTCATGAGCGACACCTGTCGGAGTTCTAATCTTGACAATGATTTTTTCGACCCATAAAACTAAATATATAAAATGGTAAATATGCCAGAATATGCAAGCGCAGTAGGGATTCCCGTTTCAAGCTGTCTGTCCACCTTTCGCGGATTTTCTCTGAAATTACTGGGCCTATTATTTTGAAATGAGCATCAAAGTCAGAGGTCACCTGAGGATGATCCTCTGAACTCGACATTACCATCCGCAATTTCCTTTCAATGTTGCAGCGTTTTTTTTTCTGTAGGGATCGGTCAGGAACAGCTCAGATGCAATAATACAACATGTTTGTTATTCTGACAGATGGCGTTTTGGCACCGTTAAGTCAGTTTTCTTCTTGTTGCAGGAGGGTGCTCTAAGATGTTTCATGCAAGCGTTCTTTGGTTTTGTCAAAAACAATTTTAATATATTTCTTTCCCAGTACTTACCATAAAACTGCGAGTATTTATTAATCAATATTCAAATATTGTTGAGCAAAAGTGGTTGTAAATTAATTTTGATGAAAAAGGGGATCAAAACAGAAAAGATGTTACAACTGAAAAGGACTGAAGGTTGCAGGTAAGAAAACCGACATGTCGGATGAAGTAAAATAAATAGCATGTACAAAAAACTGAAAACCAGAGGATATGCTGAACTGCTAAATGTCTATTAAAATAAATAAATTAAGTTAAGAAATTTCTAGAAGTTAACACAAATGTTGAAAGATATGACCGGCACTAGGGAGGGGAAAAGGAGCATTTCCTCCTTGCTGAAAATTTCGAAATCTTTTTTTTTTTTTGTCAGTAAAATTTTATATAAATATTTTTTTTTTTAAACTTTAATTAAATCAATAGCACGAGTTAATGTTATCTGATGTTGATGATATTTATGTCGGAATATATTACCTAAAATACTGATTTCCATTGGGAGCGGCGGGAATTAGCGCGTACTGCATTAGATTTTTAAAAAAAATTAGTTTCTCTAGATTATTTATTCTTGATCATTTCTTATATGCATTTATAATTCTTTTTTTTTATTATATCAAGCAAACTCTCAACTTCATTGTTTTGTAATTATTTATAACTCTAAAACTAATTACTTTGTAATTTAATTTGCAGCTACATCTATTAAGTGTATTAGGTCGACTCTATTTGTATACGGGCTTTCCCTGAAAAGAAGTAAATAATGTTCTCAGCTATTAAGATTTGATTTATTTCACAAAATAATCCTTATGAGAAGCTATTAAATCTCTCGGTGCCGTAGCGTAAATGGCGAACAATCATTAGTAATCATAATGGTACCACTTATAATGTTTAGCGAGTCTAACAAACTACTTCTTTGATCCATCACCCTAAAGAACCGGCATTGATGTTAATCAATAATAAAATGTCAATGCCAGTCAATTCGGCCATGTTCTAGCGATGGCTGGAAAGGCTCGCTGATGCTTGAACCGTTTTAGCTATAGATCGGACATAGAAAACAGATAAAGCGGTAATATAGGTATGGCGTGCGGGGAACTATAGCAGCATGGCCTTGTCCTTCTCAAGGGTAGGTATAGTAAATGGGAAAAAACATCAACAAGATTTCAGTTTCTTTTAATTGAACCTTTGAATGTCTTCAAATAAAAAAATAGAATATTTTGTTTTTAGTGGGGTTGGGGGATTAATGTCAGAGTTTTATTAAATTACATCTTTGATCAGGTTGCTGGGCGACGGCGGTGCTGTGCACACTCATACACCCCGCTCCACAGTGGAACGAAAGGTGGGTTTTTTTGGACATGAGCCTAGAATTTGTAAATGATGTCAGATTAACTTGATATTTTAGTACCTCTATGTTTTCAAGGCCAAGGAACACAAATGTGACTTCAAAATAAGAAAAATTTCAAGAAAAACAGAAAATTCAGATATCTTTATTTAAATCTGAGAATTTTTAAATTTGGCAATAATTAAATATAAACATAAACTTCGAAAATGATAAAGACCTGTTAAAACGCATACTTTTAGATACCTATTTAAACTACTGTTTACATTACTGCATATAATTGTCATTATAATATATTTTTTTTAATTTCAAAAACGCAAAACATAGTTATAATTTATTCATATGTAAAAACAAAAAAAATGTTTCGTTTGTCAATTATAAACACTTATTTTAGAATAGTTCTTATGGAATTATAAACATTTTATTTTATTTTTATTACAATAAAATTTTAAACACCATCGATATTTTTTCATATTCTTCGATGAAAAAATACATATTTTTTCTTTAATTTTTAAGATTATATTAAGAATAACTGATACAGATCAAGCCATGAAAA